AACGGCTTATTTTTAAAATTATTTATATATTAACTTTGTCCTTAATTTATCCTTATGAATAATAGCAATATCTTGTATTATAAACTTAATTTTTGCTTGTTTTTTCTCTTATTTACTTTATAGACCTACTTTTCACGCACGAAAAATAGTCTTATAATAAAAATATACGCAAGGACTTAAAACTTAATAAAAAAATAAATAAAAAGTCTTAGAAAAAACATATATAATAAAAACCTTAAAACTTTTTTTTCCCAAATAAAATTTTCGGCGGATTCTTTATGAAGCATCTCCGTTAAAAAAATTTTTCCTCTTCGCCATAGAAAAAACGGGTGGCTCATCGAAGAATTTTTACTTTTACATCTACTTTAATACCTCGCCTACTCCGTAGGCTCATTTAATTTATAAGATTTTGGGGCCAAAATTAGAATAGTTAAAATTAATTATGGCCGCAGTTTGCTTACTTAATCCTTTAATTTCTCTGCGGCCATACAATATCCTCTGATGGACCAATTTATTTATAATTACCAAGAAAATCGTCTCTGGCTAAATAATCAAGAGATAACCAACCAAGATTATAATGAGAGAAATCAACTTTATTTTGTGCTGGGTCCATCTAATCATTGACTAAAATTCTACCAACGACGAGGAGATTATTATCGGGCTGTTGCTTATAAAAAAGTGAATCCGGACGGGACCATTAACTACTTTCAAAAGGATTTACCTACTATGCCAAAACGACGGCGACCGCTGCTGGTGAAATTTTCTTTTCAGCCAAAGGATGAATTCCGTTATTACGAAATAAGCGAAAATTACTGATTACCTTTTAGAGTAAAAAATTATTAACCAATTACTAATTACTAAATAATTAGTAAAAGTTAAGATTTAGTTAATTAGTAGTTAACTAACTATTATAAAATAATAGTTTTTTCTAACTTCGTTCTAATTCTACCTCTAATCATTTTTCACTCCCCCCCATGATTTCTCGATATAATTCTTCGTTTTCTTCTAATTTCTTTGTGAAGCGTTTTTCGGCTGAATTAGTTCTTTTAGGCAGGGCACGGAACTTAGAGACCGGTTGGACTTCGGACTCTGCTAGAATTGGTTCGGTTTGAGTGGAGACATCCCTAGTAGTCTTAGCAAAAGCATTAGACTTACTTACAACAAAAAAACCTCAGATACCTAATAATAAGGCACTAAGAGAACTTACCATAATTTTTCAGATTTTAGAGATCGATAGCATGATATTTTTATTTTACGGAAAATAATAAAGGATTAGCCGCAAAAGTATAAAAAATGGATGATTAATGGAAAATTCTCGGCCGTCAAGGGCGATTTTTAGCCTAATTTAGCAATGTTTAACTCCGTAGGAGTTATTTTTTTTCGTCTACTAGAAAGATAAAAACCTTATTTTTTTCCCTAATTACTTTTACTAAATAAAAGTAAAATTAAAAAGTAAATGAGGGTCATTTTTGTCTCCTATGCGTGCGCAGGTAGGTCATACCCATTCTAAAAGGGTATGAGGGGCAAAATTAGGGGGAACCAATGCGTCCGCTAGTAATGAGCGCTCGCGAGAAAAAAGGGTTAATTCTACGGAGAGAATTAAAAAGGAGAAAAAAAGGACCTAGATATTTTACCTAAAAAAATATTTATAACCCTAACCATTCTTTCACTTTCGGCAAGCCTTTTCACGCGCCAATCGTTAGCACTATTCCCGCCAAGGTTCCGCTGGCGACCGCAACGGCAACTAACCGGCCGGACCTTTCTTGGAGTTGCTGTTGTTTAGTTTGGAGAGCAGTAATTTGGTCTTCTAATTTTTTTATCTCCGCTTCCAATTCCTCATAAGATTTCTGAATTTTAGGATGTTCGTGGGCTTCGCGTTTAATTATTTCCTCACTGGCTTGGAGATATTTTTCTATTTGTTGAAAATTCTCGGCAATTTTATCCGCATTTTGGTCGGTATTTTTAATTTTATCTTGTAATCTCTGGACTCTCTCTTTTAATTGATTTAATTTGTCGGATCAATCAACCATAATTTTTTCCTAACGAGAGAGAGAGAGAGAGAGAGAGAGAGAGAGAGACAAAACATTTAATCACATTATCATAATATTAGATTTTAAGAATTATAAAAAATTTTGTGGCGAAAATAGTTGAGTTTTTGGTTAGTTAGTAGTTAACTAAATGGTTAACTGTTTAAGGATTTTTTTGGGTCTTTTAACATTTATTAATTAATATTTATTAAATAATATATATGAAAACATTAAGCATTAGTATCCAAGATAATACTTATCACGAATTAAAAAGAATAACTAATCCGGGCGAGGTTAGCCAATTTATTGATAAATTAATTAGCCAAGAAATAGCCAAAAAAAAGCAGCGGCTAATTGAAGGATATAAAAGAGTAGCCAAAAGCAAAAGTCGCCGCGAGGAGGATAAAATTTGAGATGGAGCAGTTGGAGATGGAGTCAAATAAGAAATTCCCTCAAAGAGGAGAAAGACGAGAAACTAGTTTTGAGTCTTCGCACCCCAAACGGGGTGAAATTTATTGAGTAGATTATAATTATAAAACCCAAAGGGGAAGAGAAATCAAAAAAACCCGCCCTTCATTAGTGGTAAGTAATGATATCCAAAATGAGTTTGACGAGCAGATTATTGTTTCGCCTTTAAGCACTGAAGACCTAGATCAAGTGGAAGAATTTGAAGTTTATATTGCTAAAACTGCTGAAAATGGTTTAGAGCAGAATAGTAAAATCCTAGGTAATCGTTTACAGACTATTGATAAGATGATCCGCTTGAAGATTGAGAAAGATTTTATCGGCTCGGCTAGTCCGGAAATAATGCGGCAGGCGGAACAAGTTTTAAAATTAGTTCTGGTTTTGCCCTAAAAACATGCTAATTAACTATAATTTAACTAAATGGTTATTTGTTAACTGGCTGGTTAACAATAATATCATTTACAGCAAAAAAACCGTT